TGGCTTTCTGCCAATAGTCAGGGGAACATTGATGAGAGCAGGAGCAGTTTTTAAAAATAAAAATATAATGAACATTATGACATTCATGCAAGCTGCCCTCCATCCTCGGCTCTATGCTGACAAAACAGACAGAGGCTGCATCCCCAAACGCTTCCTCCCAAGAGGCGCCTCTTCAGACATGGCTGGCTGCAAAATGGACCTGTGGTAGACATCCATGCCATTTCTAGCTAGGTAACATCTGTGAATCCACAGTGAGACACAAGTCTTTGTTTACACACACACACACACACACACACACCACTTGACATAAGGTCTTGATCCTTCTGATTCTCCTGTCTCCATTTCCCAAGTGCTGAGATCACAGGCAAATGCCACTATGACTATGCTCAGCCTAGTCTTGACCTTGCAGACATACAGAGCGGAGTTGCAGGTCTTAGAATGAACGACCCTACCCAGAAGAAACCACCCAGCTAGGGCTGTAACAGTTGTTACTCTTGTGAGCATGAAACTGTCCTATTCCACATCCTCAACAGAGTTGACCTCATAATGTTTATATTTTATAGTTACCCTTTAAACATTGTGTATATCTATGTGACATATTTTGATCATATCCACCCATCATTATAACCCCATAAGTGCCCATTGCATCCACTGTCTCTCCCTCTTCCAGTCCGATGGACAGGAAGTGGTGGGTCTTGAATGTTACAGCATTTCCTCAATGAGTGAGGCTGAATAGTTTTTAAAAGACTTAATTTTATTTTATGTGTATAATGAGTGCCTGCACGCATCATATGGATGCACCCCATGTACTCCTGGGGCCTGTGCAGATCAAAAGAGAGTGTTGGGCCCACTGGGACTGAATTGATGAATAATTGTGAGCTACTGAGTTGTGAGTACTGGGAGCAGAACCTGTGTTCTCTGCAAGAACAACAAGGACTATTAGCCATAGATCCATCTCAACAATAACCCTAACCCTAACCCCTAACCCTAACCCCTAACCCTAACCCTAACCCTAACCCTAACCCTAACCCTAACCCTAACCCTAACCCTAACCCTAAGTCTAACCCTAACCCTAACCCTAACCCTAACCCTAACCCTAACCCTAAGTCTAACCCTAACCCTAACCCTAACCCTAAGTCTAACCCTAACCCTAACCCTAAACCTAACTCTAACCCCTAACCCATAACCCTAACTCTAACCCTAACACTAACCCTGACCCTAAGTCTAACCCTAACCCTAACCCTAACCCTAACCCTAACCCTAACTGAATACCTTTGATGCCTGCACTGGTCTTTTGTATATTTTTTTCCTATATAAATTAGCTGTTCACACTTTGTATACATTTTGCATTGGGTTACTTTTCCTTTCATCTTTACCAATGGGCAACCCGCACACAATGCATGGACACACTGGCTTCCACTCAGGCGTAGCTCCATAAAACCATCCCCCGATAAGGACTCGGTGCAGAAATGCCCTCCCCTTCCCACGCTGCCTGACCCGGGCAGCCATGATCTGCTGCTGTTGTCCATTGCTTTGTGTCTTCATCTAAGCTGCTCGCTGTTGCTCCAACGAGTGGCGTGAGTCACTACCACTGGTCTGTACCACTCACCGGCTCACTTCCTGACAGACACTTTCATTAGTTATAGCTCTGCTTTCTACTGCTGAGATGACCACAGAACTTCCTGTGCACATTCTGAATGGGCACGTGCCTTCACTTGGCGTGGGAGGAAACGAAGCCGTTGGGACCCAGGGAGATGACGTTCGGCTTTTGAAGGTATTTTAGAGTTCCGTGGCACCAACACATGGGATCAGACTTCTAAATTCTAGCCAGTCTTCAAAGGGGTAAGAGCTCCGTCAGCCTCAAAACCGCCAGTCTGTGGTGGTTAGGTCTTGCATCCCATCTGTCCTGCTCTTTCTGGCATCTCCAAAAACTGCACGCATGGAAACTGTGGCCCTGGTAGGATTTCTCTGGCCTCCTGTGTAGGGCTTCCTGCTCATCTTGTGCAGTTAACTACTGACCGGTCTCTACGTGTCCCCCATGGAGCCCTTCTCCCTACTCTGGAGGTTTCCCGGTTGCTCCAGTGCGTAGAGTCTAAGTCCTTAGGGCTCTGTGCATCTTCAGCTAGCTGGGGGTTCTTGGAAATGGTGGGGCAGCAGCTCACCTCACTGTCCATACTCGTGGGTGGTAGCAGAGGTTCCTAGACCATAAAGAGCTTCAGCGGGTGACCTCCAGCTGTCCCTCTGGTCACTGTCACTCAGGACACCTACGGTCCGCCTTCCCACCCTGTTTCAAGTCCTTCACATTGAACCCTGACTCCATTGCCACACTTCCTCCATTCCAAAGACATTTTTGTCTGCTTGCTGTTTCTCTTATCAAATATGACCGAAATTTCTAAAGGGTGGGGCCGGTCTCTTTATCTTTCTAATCTCAGAGCACATCACAGCTCCTTTGTATTAAATGCATTCTCAGAATGTTTTTCAAGATAAATTAATTAGCGGTGTCAGCAAGCAAGGACTCTCAGTTGGACTCTCTTCGGTGACAGGTGAAACGGGACGTCACGGCGCTCTACGGGGTGAAACTGGGGTATGACAGTGTCCCACGTGGCACCTGAAAGGGCTCCAGGTAGACGCTACTCTGATCAGTAAAGCAAGATGGTGGGCACCTCGCTGGCAGCATGGGAATAGCATTAGCGTGGATTCGGTCATCGGCATGGGCTCAACCCTTGTGCCAGAGCGGCTCCTGGCCGTATCGGTTTAGGAGAAGCAGGGAAATCCTATTCCCTGTGGGCTTCTGTTATGAGGTAGTCAGTCCAATTGACGCGAAGAGAATAAATTCAGAGTTCTGTCTGTGCTGGAGCCAGATTCTCCAGGATAGATATACAGAAGAAGAAAGAAAGAAAGGAAGGAAGGAAGGAAGGAAGGAAGGAAGGAAGGAAGGAAGGAAGGAAGGAAGGAAAACATGATTTGCAAACATTTCATTGGGAGTTGGTTGTGTGTGGAAACGCCACCAGTGGTTACAGTTTGCGTTGCTACTGAGATAGCCTGTCACCCAGGTGGAAGGGAGTGGGAGAAGCCCCAAGTCCCTGGCGGGCTGTGGAGCCCCATGGCAGCCTGGCGGGCTGCCGCGCTACAGTGCTTTGTGCGGACTCCACTCATTAGAGAGATGACTTAGCTTTCTCCTCATTTAAGCACTCGACAGAAAATAATGAGTTCTAGGCTTCTGCACTTTTTTTTAAATATGAAGAAACATCTATCAGAACACAGAGGGGAAAACGTGTGAGCCAGAAGTGCCCCCCAGCGCTCGCTCAGCTTCTGAACGACTTGGGGCCATCGCTCTGAAATGGCCGCCCAGTCAGATGATTACGATGTCCATCAGTTCCCACTGGGTTGTTGTCTTTTTGAAGGGAAGTAACAGCTTTGGGTAAAAAAAAAAGACTAGGATGTAGGCGTCAACTGGCACCTGGGTGACTGCATGTGGCGTGAGGTCGTCCTGCTGGGTGGTGGTAGCCGGGATCCCAGAGCCTACATAATGTGAGGCGGGACTGCGGTCGTGGAATTCCGGCCGCAGCGAATGCCGGCTCCCCTTGCCAGCTGCTGTTTCTTGGCTGTGGGAAGTTGCCACTGCCTCTCTTCTATATAGGTTCAGAGCCCGTAGAAACATCGAAAACCACCCAGCAGCCTCTTGTGGACACCAGTCCCTAGGAGCCAGTGTTCCAGCACAGAGAGAATGGCGCTGACATCCTACACAGGGGGGAGACTCTGAGAACCTTCAAGGAGCCACAATACACCTATCAGAACTGATGAAACCCTAGTGCAGTGTGTGGGAAGCCTCCAGATGTCCCTTGGTGTCTGGCAACACACTACAGTCTTAGGAAGGAGACCAGTCACATGAGGTGGTGTGATGGGTGTTCCTTGGGAAGGAATGTTGAGCTGTAGAGTTGAAGATCCAACACAGCAAGGGTTCTGACCTTTACACCATGGCCGATCTCATCCTTAGACATGAGCTAGTCCCCAGGCTCCAAGCTGCCTTCTCCTGGTACCCAGAGCTCTCTAATTATTTGTCATTCAGAGTGTGACAAGGCCTGCTTTGCAAGCTGACCTGAAAACATCTTGGTCACAATACTTTCACACCTCAAAAGGCCACTGAGGTTCTATCTCCTCCTTTAAAATACGATTCCCATCCAAGGCCAGCCAGGTCTAGCATACTGGCTGAACGAGCTTGCACCTCAGACCTTGCTGGTAAGTCTGGTCCTCAGAAGGCACGCCAATTAACCTGTGTCCAGGCCTGGCTTACACAGAGGGACAGTTGTCCAGGGCCCACACATGAAAGCCTTGCTGCTTTGGGTACCACGTCATCTTTTTTTTTTTTTTTTGAGACAGGGTTTCACTGTATTGTTTTGGAGGCTATTGGTCCAGCCCAGCCTCGAACTCACAGAGATCCGCCTGCCTCTGCCTCCCGAGTGCTGGGATTAAAGGCGTGCGCCACCACCGCCTGGCTTGCCACCACCTCGCGTGGTCCATGTCATCTTGATACTCTACCCTAGCACCCACAGATGTACAGTCTTTCTGTTGTCCTGGGAAATCCACGCTGGTGACTTTACCAGAAATTAGAAGTCTCCGGGAATATAGCGATTTTTTAGTTAAACGCGTGACAGACGGGCACCAGACCTAACTTCAACCATGCTCTGGTCCTCTGGACATCTGGGCTGTTTCCACTCCTCTCCTGAGCACTCTTCCCACAGACTGGTATCAGAGCACTGCTCTGAGTTCCCGGCACCAGGTTCTCTGCAGGAGTGCTTGTAGCTAGCACAGCCCCAGGGTCCAGAGGACCTGCGTTCAGTCTGGCTCTTCTCGGACCCATCCAGAGCCTGTAGTCATGAGGACGACAGCTGGGAGACAGGGAACCAAGACTGCTCACTCTGTATCTTATGGACAGACATACGGGCGGGTAAAGACAACCCCGGGGCCGGCCACAAGGGGTAGGTAGGCTGAAGCATCACCTTGGCTGGACGTGTCGCGTGTTCTATCCTGGGGCGTGCATTGGCCGTCGGGGCCTGGGACAGAAGCTCCAAGTAGGGCAGGTAGCGCCGGAGGGTCTTGGCCAGGGCCGCTTCGCTCTCTGGGATGAACCACTTTTCATCGTCAGCACTCTGTTGTGAAGTCCTGAAAGACGAAGAGAATGGATGGCTCAATGCACGGTTGCCCCGCGCTGAGAGGTAAGGTGGGGACAGACCGGAGAGCGGCGTGCGCATGCGCATGGCCTCAGCAGCACGCTTGGGCGCAGATGTGCGGTGAGCTGACGCCCAGTGCCCTGACTTCTCCTTAGCCACGGTGGTGTTTCTCAGGGAACCTGACCTCCCTCTTCCCACAGTGGGTGGAATGCAGCAGAGCCTTCTGGGAGGGACTGAGGGGTGACTCTATGGGGCTCATGTCTGGCACTAGCCACAGTGTCCTGTAGCGCTGAGACAAACTGAAATGGAGCGCACCTGCTTGCTGTACCCGGAGCATGGACGCTACAGCTGAGTCTGGTGGCTCAGATTTGTCACTGCAACACTCCAGAGGCTGAGGCAGGGGGATGGAAAGCTCAGCGACAGCTCAAACAACTTAGCGAGGTCCTGACTAGATTTTTAAAGATTATTGAGAATTTCATGCTTGCACGGGCATTTTTTTTTTTATCAAATCCACATCCAGGTCTGACCTGTATATCCCCTGCCCCTTTTCTCTCCCAACTTCTTTAAAAGTCACTGCGCTGGCTAATTTTATGTCAACTTGACACGGGCTAGGGTCATCTGGGAGGAGGGAACTCCACTTGAGGAAATGCCCCCATAAGATCAGGTTGTAGACAAGCCTGCAGGGAATTTTCTTAATTAGCGATTGGTGTGTGTGGGCTTGCCCCTGGCTGGTGGTCCTGGGCTTTATACAAACGTGGAGACTGAGCAAGCCGTGAGGAGCAAGTCAGTAAGCAGCACTCCTCCATGGCCTCTGCATCAGCTCCCGCCTCCAGGTGGCTGCCTGTGTGAATGTCTGCCATCACTGCTTTCAGTGCTGAACTGTCGCAGGGAATTGTGAGTGGAATAAACCCTTTCCTGCCCAAGTTGTTTTCAGTCACGTTGTTTCTTCACAGCAATAGTTACCCTGACTAAGACATTCACTGAGTCCATCCATTTAGTGATGGTCCACCTGCTGGAACACTGGTAGCTTCTCAGGGTCCACGTCCCTAAGAAAACTAACCCTCCAACCTCCAGCAGCCATTAGCTGCCAACTCTTCTTAAAGGGAGTTTTAAGGGGATAGATCTGTAGCTCAGCGACAGTGCAGGTGCTGAGCTCAATCTCAAGAACTACACACACACACACACACACACACACACACACACACACACACACACCACACAAAAGCTTTTGCAGTTCTGAGAGAGGCAGCCAGAGAGAGAGAGAGAGAGAGAAGAGAGAGAGAGAGAGAGAGAGAGAGAGAGATGATGATGATGATGATGTGGGACAGAGCATAGGCATGGGGGGCAAGGCAGGGAGTGTCTGTGGAAGTCAAAGGATTCTTTAGACCATGTATTACAGTAGACTGAACAACAGAGGAAAAGGTGCCCTTGGTAGTATGGCAGAGTCAGGCATGATCCCCTTAGCAAGGTGAAGCCCCCCTCCATCTTTGTTTTAGCATGGGCCATGTCTGAATTCTGACCTGTGGGGTGGTAGGTTTGGATCATTCAATAACAACTTTGCGGTTTGCTGTTACGGTGCCCAGGCTCTCCATAGCAGCCATTCTGCTGTCAGATGATGGGTGTCACCTTCTGTACCACAAGATGGGCAGGAAGGGAAGTCTGAGGCCATAAACACCTTGGGCGTGGGGCTTCACCCTGTAGGTAGATTGGGGGGTGGGGGTAGCAAGGATAAGGCCGTAGAACCCCGGGCTTGAGTGACATAGGAGCCTTACAAACTGCAGGAAACAATGAACCTAGGGGTACTCTGCAGGAGCAGCCGGATGTCACTGCAAAGTCAGCAAGAGCCGTGGCAGCCATGAGGGAGGTGTCAGAGGAGCCGTCAGGGACCGCAGATCCTGAACAGGGTCTGGGAAGACGGGGACAGTGGGACACAGATCCCAGGACTTGGGAGAAGACCCGTGTGGAATGTCGTGTTGGAGATGGGAGGGCAATGATGTCAAGTTGACACTAACCAATCGGCCAAGGTTAACCATGGTTGGCCCCACGCTCCTCCCAGAAGAACCCCGTGTGCCTCTTAGCCTAGATGAGGGCGGCGCTGCGCGTCCTGTCTTCTACACTGGTGCTCATTGCCTGTTCCGCCTTCTGACAGAGGAACGGAACGCAAGCAGGCTCATCTATGTAAGCCGGGACTGAAACCACAGGCATGAAGCACACCGCTAATGAGAGTCAGAGACTTCTCTGGCAGACTGAGCCTAATGGCCAGGAGTGCTGGCCAAAGGCTTTGGATCCTGATTACTTCCAGGCGTTTTGATTCATTAAGGGCCTTGTTTATGCCTAGAAAGGAGATAGGAACTAGTCAAACAGGCCAGCTCCTGTGAGCCACCGTGGGGCCTGCCCACACCGTATTGCCTTCAGAGACCTTCCCAAACCCGGCACCGTCAACCTCCATCAGATCGTCTCCACTGAGACCTCCCACAGTCCCACATCCGCAGCTCTCACCCACTCACTGGCAGGCTCCGGGCTCTGCCCTCAGGCATGATCCCAGCAGGCTGGACCTGCCCACCTCTCCTCCTTCTGCCCTGGGTAAGACTGTTCCCCTGATGGAGGCTGTGTCTTTTCTGAAGCGGGAAGCACAGACTAACCCACTCCCCGCAGGCCTGGCCCCTCATGTCTCTCTATAGATTCCAGGTGGCATCACCAGGGCTGCGGCGGAAAGCAGATGAACTGGGACACTCAGGGTTGTAAGTCTCCACAGCTGCTTGCCCCACATTCGCCACTTGGTTTCCCCCAACACTGGTGTCCACTGAATATTTCTATAATTACATGGTTTTTTTTCTTTTGTTGGCTCATGAGCCACAGTTCTAAGTGTCTGCTTTAAAGTGTGCTGCATGCTCCCGTAACTGAGCACGGGTGCCTGCAAGTGACGCAGCCCAGTTCAGGTGAAGCCTGGGAGAGAAGTACGGTAACCCAGGCGGGGAGGGGGGGGTAGCTTTCTCCCTGTCGGCCGGCATGTGGGATTCTATGCGGCCACAAATCACGTTACAGCCACGGACAAGCCGCACCGCGCACTGTACGCTGTTAAATCAATCAACTCTGCATGAGACCGAAATAGCAAGAGGCAATCCCAGGTCTCTGGTGCTCAACTGCCTTCGGGGGTGTGCTTCCCAGTGGTTTGTTTCCTCCTCTCCCACTGCGAGGGGAAAGCTGCTTCCGTCACTGGGTCCCTGAGAAAATAGTAAGTTCAACCTTTGCGTGCAAAAGGCGCTCCTCGGCATGTGGGGGCTCTGGTTGATTTCTCCGAGCTGTCTTTCCTTTGGCCCAGACGATGGCCAAGGCCGTCAACAACCACACTACCTCCCTCTCTCTTCCTCCCTGCACTCTTGCTGGGACTTTGAGCAGTCTGATCGCTGCGTGTCTTGAGTTTTCAGACTAGTTTTTCTTGGGGGTGGGGAGGGTCACGCCGCTTCATAGGCGTGGTTGTCTAAATGAGGAAATGTTTCTTAGAGGCTCCGGTGTTTGAACACTTGGTCCCCCATGTTGTGCAGCAGTTCCCTCGGAGACGGAAACGTTCCATTCCGTTGGGAAGCTCCTTAAGACAGAAGGAAACCAACTCAAAATACCTTCAGGAGGTTCCTGAAATTGATCAGCTCTTCTTCTTCCCAAGAGGCAGCAATAAAACTACGGAGAGTGACTCTCAGACAAGACAAGCCGCAAAGAGGACTCTTGAGACCCAACCGGGACAGCTGCCTAGAAGAAGACGAGCTGGATTGCCTGGAAAATGTTTAGACCAACAGAGCCATCGGAAAAGAATACTCTACCCTATTGCGCTTCCTGCAGTCTGTATGATGCCCTCCAGGTCACCAGCTTGGTGAAGGGTCACCCACGCTGGGTTGGGCTTTGGTGATACAGATATCTTGTGAGTTCTTCCAGCTCCTGTAAGTGACCTGTTATCCACACAAAACTCATAGATTCGCAAAGTTGGACTTTGGTGGTGTCTGCAGTTTGGTTTGCTGTGGGCTCACTATCTGGGATGAACAGGTGTGTGTGTGTGTATGCATGCATGCATGCGTGTGTGCCTGTAGTGTGTGTGTGTGTGTGTGTGTGTGTGTGTGTGTGTGTGTGTGTGTGTTGCTTCTCCCCGGGAAAAGTATTGTCACATAGCACCAGTGGCTAGCACTGTTTAGGGAAGTTACAGAACCTTCAGCTGGTGCAGCCTTGCTTGCTGGAGGAAGCACGTCACAGGGGACAGGCTCTGAGAGTTTATAGTGTTGCCCTACTTGCAGTTCATGATCTGGTTTATGCTATGGACTTTCCCTCTGGAGCAATAAGCTATAATAAACTCTCCCTTCCTTAAAAAATGCCTTTGGTGGTGGTGTTTTATACAGCAACAGAGAAGTAAGGAATACGATGAGTCTCTGGTCTTCTGCAAGCACTTTCTATTTTCCAGTACTTCCGTTTTCCCCTCCCTGGGGCTCTGGCCACAAGCATATTTGGTCCTCGAATGTCTATAAACTTACTACTGGGGATTACTTCGCTAGTTATTTCTTCTGTCTCCTTCTTTCTGTATCTCTGGGTTTACTAGAATTTTTTACATGCGTCTAACTTGCTATTAGCCCAGTGAGACATTCTCCTCATATCCCTTGTCTCTTGCATCATTCTGTCAGAACTCATTGGTCTCAGTTTCCTGTGTAATAACGTTTTTTTTTTTGTCTTTTTGTTTTTTTTCCAGACAGGGTTTCTCTGTATTGTTTTGGAGGCTGTCCTGGAACTTGTTCTGTAGACCAGACTGGCCTGGAACTCACAGAGATCCGCCTGCCTCTGCCTCCCGAGTGCTGGGATTAAAGGCGTGCGCCACCACCGCCTGGTTATCTAGTAACTTTGGATTGGATTCTGCAGACTGAGTGTTTCCTGCTTGGGTGGTATTGGGTGGTACACGCATAGTCTTGCATTTCCATAACCTTTTCCTTTTCCATTGCTGCTGTGCCCTTGCTA